TTTATTTTTGCTTTCTTTTAAATTGTCAAAGATATCCAAATCTAGGATTTAGATTGGCTTCCAAATTTGCCTTAATGATTTACTGCACAATTTGAACACACTTTTCCATTGTAAAAGAGGATGAAATTATATATATATAAAAAAAAATATATATATATATATATATGTTTATACTTTTTACCAACAAAAACAGAGGATTGTCTTATACTGTACTACAAAAATATGGCAAATAGTGACAATACACACATTTATTGAAAAAAATAGGGAGAGAGAGGATCTACAGTTTCTATAAAATTCATTAACAGTTAATAGTTCTTGTGATGAATTCTTAATAGACATGGGTATTGTTGGAGAAAAAATTAAAAAAAATATCAACCTTCCAATATTTGATAAAATTAGCACGTTAATTAAAATCATGGTTCTTGGTCACTGTCAATACAATGCCAATTTCCAATCATTTTCAGGCACTATATAACGTACTTATTCATTTCTATATTTTTCATAATGCCAGGTTTCTTTAGGACATAGGCAATCATGAATCTCCTTTTCTTTATTATTTGTGAATTGTCAGAACTTCTTGGGAAAGCTAAGAGAGTAGTTTCTTGCCGTCATGGTTTGGAATGGTTACTACTCAAGGCTAGAGAGCCCAGTTTACTCTGCTATTTAACACCTGGCTGGATGGAAGGAGAAGAGATGAATTCATTCTTTTCTAACGACATTTGTGTGAAAGTGAATGCAACAGACTAGCCCAGAATTTGAGTTTGGCCGGCCAATTTCACTTTCCCCACCAATATCTGTTAAACTACTTGCACATAATGACACATTATGATCACTTTAATCCAATTAGTTCATTTTCTGACCATCTTCAGTGCATAACTTCTATGTGGTACTGACTCATTGATGAATAATGCATCATTAACAGTTCAAGTCAGACTTCTTGTCAAGGTTTTCACATTTAAGAAATGCATGTTTTGACTCTTTAAAATTCTGAGGTTTAGACTGTTATTCACTGAACAAGTCACATCATTTCTGTCAAATTATCAAAGACAGAAGGCCTAAATGAACTAATATGACCCATAAAAAGGACTAAATGACCTAGAAGAGGAGATTTTAATGCTTAAAAAGATTACTTATATACCAGCAAATACAGTAGGTATTAAATGGTATTGTTCAACAGTCCTATTACTATATATTCAGAATATGTTATTTAAAAGTAATTGATGAAAACATTGTATTAAGTTTGTCTGTTTATCTAAGTAAATCAATGTATACTAATAATACAATTTTTCACAAGCACCAATCTATAATAATAGTTTTGTTATTGTCTCCATAGAGTAATGTGAAGCATGGATGATGAAGCCCAAATAAGTACAGCAATCATTAATAAGTGAGAAAACAGACAATCAATGGCAAGAACTCAAATATTAATGTGACATTGCAGTATATTATTAATTTAGAAAGTGATTTTTCGCTGGGTTGTATTTCAAGGTCTAGTGGCTATTGATGAATTCTTGCAATAATTGGATGGAAATCAAATCTGTAGAGGTTGTAACCCAGTAGGTGGTTGAAGCATCCTGGGACAATTCTGGAAAAAAATATTTTCTCATCTAGGTTGGTAAACAAAATAAGGAAAAAATTAAAAAAAAAAATATATATATAAATGAAAAATTGAAGAAGATGTAAAAAGAAAAAAAAAGAAAAAAAAAGAAGATAAAGACAGTAAAAAAAATAAATGAAAAAATATATGGCTAAGGTACCTTGAAAAGTTTCCAGGCTGAAAAGAAATCTTAGATTAAAAAGTTAACACATACCTATTGTACTGACTGATCACTAGCATTTTCTAAATACATACAATGAGAAAAAGCAGGTGAGAGAGATAGAGAAAGTGTTTATATATATATATATATATATATATATAAACACACAAACAAACCTGTGGAAAGTTAAACAGGTGAGAATTCCAGTTATCATGCAATACACTCAAAAAAAGCCAACAAAACTATATGCTTACCATGCAGGGTGATGGTGATTTTTTTTTCTTTAAATTTTTGGAGTAACTCTAAAAGTAAAATAGACTGAAGCTTTTGTCATACAATAAATCTAAAGAGAAACACAGTGCTCAAATCATGCCATGAAAATAATTTGTGCTTTGATTGTCAATATACAAACAAAAGGGATAAACACACACAATTTTAGTAAAGTGCTCATTCAGTAAACTAGAAACAAGGATATTTCTTTGGATGCTTGAGGAAAGGAACATTGTGATTCATTGCTAAAGAAACAACCTTCCTTCCAATCAATAAACTTTAATCATCTCTTGTAAAGAGCTATCCTTGGCTGGATTGGGGAATATTCTGAAAATCCACTCGTCATGATACATATCTATACTTATCTTCTTTTTTTAATCTGACCTTGAATGTTTCAAAAATGGATCTTCTTTTTAGAATCACAGAAAACAAATAGAAAGAAAATTACATATAATTTCATTAATTTTTCCCAAAGGACATAAAACTACTTTGAGAATTGTCAAGAAACATCTTAAATTTCACTTTGACCCACTGTCCATGTTTTTTTCCATTTCAAAATTTTAAAATTTTTATTGTGATCATTGTGAATTGTTTTATCATTTATTATGAATTCTTATGAAAATTTCTCAGCATTTTACTTTTGCCTTCTGTGATACTGAAAAGACTTTTACTGTAGTTTAGCAGAAAGAAAAATGCCAGGTAATTTGAAAAAGGTGTTGCAATATACCTACATAAATATAATCTATCTTTTCTTTATTAATCTAGGGGTCAATCATTCACTTAAGAATACAGATTTGCAAAGACCGTGGGAAAAGACCGGTGTCCTGCCTCAAGCTAAAAGAAATATGAAAAGTTAAGAAGAGGGTAAGGTATACAGACATTGAAATTACACACACTTACTGAGAATGAAGAGGATAGGGGATAAATGATATGAAGTTGGGGAAAGGATATTTAATAAAACATTAGTGTCAACTAAGTGTAAAACAAAAAAACAAAAAAATAAAAAAAAAATAAAAAATAAAAAATTGATATGTTTTCTTATTGTATCCAAATTAGGGAATATTGTAATCTAATAATTAGTTCCTATTTTTTTTTTTTAAGTAAAAATTCTAACACCTATTACTACTTATATTTTGAGGATCTAATATTGAAAATTTTGTAAGAGAATCTATTCTGCAGGCTCACAAAAAGAATACCTACTTTTGTTTTGTTTTTTCCTTTGGAAAATATGTAAAAAGTCTGAATTGTGAATGACAAGATAATGTATTTAAGTAAAGCAAATATATAATCTGTAAATGTTATATGTTTGGTTTGTTTTAAATGAATAATTATCATATTCCTGTCTCCTTTTGCTTCTGTAATAGAACAGATATACATTTGAAAGCTTTATCATATATTTTCTAAATATTCAAGAAATACTTTAATAATTAAACAAAAGGAAATTTGACATTATATAAAGTATAACTGGTAAAATAAAAATGCAAAAGAATAAAACAGAATGGATAAATTAAACAATATCTAAATATTAACAAAAACAAAATTATGTCATTAAGTATATCTAATACAATTGCCAATATAAGGAGATGCTGAAAAGTTCTTGGCTAAACCAAGAAGGGATTCTTAAAAAAAAAAAAAAAAAAATCAGATATTTTGGGTGTTTGGTTAGATTTAGGAGGTGGTTATGGCTGAGAATTTTTCAACACCCACATGTATATGCAACTTTTAGTTTTTTCTGTTTTCATTTAAATTTATATCGAAATAGAAAAATATAACTTTAGTACCAAATCCTTTAGAAAATAGATTTACCAGTAAATCAAAATTTAACTTTCTGATGATAAATAAGCTCTAGTTAATTTATGGACAAAATATAAAGGTAAAAAGTGATGAAAAGTCCATCTAAATGGACAACTTTTAATTCTTTTATTTGCTTATGGTCTTCAGATTTTACTTTTTAATTTAAAGAACAATGTTTTTTGTTATATATATATATATATGTGTGTGTGTGATTGCAAGGTAAACAGGTACAGTTTAATTAAAGTATCCTTTTCCTTTTTTCCTTTTTAACAGCAATGAGGAAGTGCTGAAAAGTTCTCGACCAAACCCACGTTTGACCAAATAACCAAATACAATTTTTTTTTTTTTTTAAATTTCTTCTTAGGCCAAAAACTTTTCAACACCCCCATATTTGACAAAAACACCATTCATTGGAGAAATTAGATTAAGCCGATATTTTGTGCTAAAGCTAATTATTAATACCCCCCCCCATCCCCACAGATCCTTAGAGAAGGAACTAAGTTGAAAGATGCAAAACTTTCAAGAAGGGAGACATAGATGACAAGTGTGATTTTTAAGAGTTGAGAAAAGGGACAGATATCTATTTTAATAATAAGATGAAAACAGGAGGATGGGGTATCAATTAAATATTTTTGAATCCACTCAGATCCTTTCCAGAAATGTTTTTAGACATCAGAGTTATAGAGCTACACAGGGAAGTTAGTAAAATTTATATGGTGGGGACACATGGTTATATCAACATCAACCTCAACTCCATAGAGGCCTATGAGATGTTGATAATTCTTAATGAATGAATGAGAAAGTGAAAAGAGAAGTAAACAAATGGTGAAATTTCTCTTGCATCCATATGAGGAACAATGTCTTGGATACCAATCCCCCTTCCTCCCAAATCTGTACAGGCAGCCAGGTAGACAACTGATTATTAGAGAACAGGTGCCAGAGTGAGAACACTTGCTGAGGCAGACTACCAGGTAGTAGGGATGGTTGCATCTCCTTTTTATTGTAAAGGAGGTTATGGACCGATAAAGCTGAGGACATCTACTCCATGCTACAAAAGCACCTTGATTCGATGGTGAAAAAGGAGAAAGAATTGTAGCAGTTGTAGTAGCAGTAGTAGTAGTAGTAGTAACAGTAGTAGTAGGAGGAGGAGGAGGTCGCCGAGGAAGAAATCACACTTACTGGACTCCTGTTATCTGGAGTTTGTGTCCCCATTTCCCTCTTGATGCATACCTGTTTGGATTCATCATCACGAACTTCGGTATTTTGTTTCAAAGTCTGCAATATAAGAGGAACAAAAAAATGTGGGTTTTTAAAAAAGGTGTCCATGCTACGGGTATCTATTAGACAGGTAGTTGTTTGGGCTGGTGAGAATTTTTTTTTAATCTATGAAGAAGATGGCTTGAATGAAATGTAAAGGAAGCAGCTATTTTAATGGCTAGTAAGTTTGATTCGCAAAAAAATGATTGAAGTTGCAAGGGACAAGAGGGATTGGGGAAGTAACAAAAGGAAAGCTAAACAGAAATTATTTTGTGTTTTTTTTTTAAATATCAGGAAAGGAAGGAGTTTCTGGTGTCCAGCTAAACAACGAACAAATGGAAACATGGATTCATGCTGACTTAAAAAAACATTTCACTGCATAAGACATCACCAGCTCAAGGACAATAATAATATATAACAAATACCCTAGAGTTTATTAAAAAAAAAAAATAATCCAACATACTTGAGCAGTCAGTAATAAATCCATCTAATGGATTGGCCAATATAGGTTTTTCTTGGTATAAAAATAAAAATATTAAAAATGCTGTCGTTTGATCCAAGAAAATAACTTCTTTATAACATTGATCAATTTCTGTTTTATTTTGGAAGTAGATGCCTTACATTCATCTAAAGTATGGAGTTAATTCTTAAAGAAATAAAAGTATCACTATGAAATAAATAGAAAATGGAGCTTTTAAAATTAAATTATTATATTAAAAAAAGTTTCACTGGCTGATCAATTCATAACATGTAGATATCACAGATTTTGTATAGATAAGAAAAATTACAAGTGAAAAATTATTTATTTTTTTTTGATTTGGTTTGAAATTGATTTTCTTTCTTGTGAATGAATTTTTGAATGCAACTGATTTCTAAAAATAAGATTCAAGCTTCCTAGCTGTTAGTCCATTGTAAGTGAAACCGGCAAATATTTGACAGTTAAATGATAAACTTAATTTTTAAAACTCAATCTATGATTCATTTCAAATTTATTACTGATTATTAATAAAATGCTGGAATAAGAATTAGGAAATTTGGAGTCATTTGCATCAGAAAAGTGACATTTTAGACAATTGTATAATTTTTTTTTTCTATATTCATATTTACATTTAACTTTTGCCATTTGCATAGTGCTCACATAATATCTTAATCGCATTGTATTTATTAAGCTGAAAAGATATTTTATGTCTACCAACTAAAAGAATCAGAACAGAACTTGAGAGATTGACTTGAAATAACTTGAAGGTCAGTTTGAGCCAACTATGACTTTGAAACAAATTACTCTTACTGATGCCAATGTGTTAAGACTAATAAAGAAACAGAAAGTAGTTTAGATAATATCAAAAAATGATGATGATACCGAGTGGTTTATCACTTGTAGTGTTCTTTGAAGATGAATAAATTAATACATGAACTATAGTCAACTTTTCAATTCTTTAAGTACGGTAAAACATCACTTGACATTGAGGCTGAACTTTTGAAAATAGCATACCCCTCTTCTTGAATTTAAAAACAAGTTGCTCAGTTTTATGAAAGAAGTCTGAAAGCAGAAGTGCATCACAAAAAGTGGGGTATATTATGCACTAATACAAAAAGACATTTATACATACAGAGGTATCCCAGTTGAATCCATTATGGTGAAAGTACTAATGAACATTGTACTAAACAGATTCCCACTGGAAGTCAACTCTTCACAATCCAGTTTGGCTTTCACTATGATAAGGAATGTAATAATGGAATAAATGCTATCAAACTCCAGGAAATTGCATATCTCACCAAAAGAAAAGAGCATACCAGCTATGTTGACCTCACAGCTGTATAGGACAACATCAATAGACTTCACTTTCTCATTCATTAGAAACTACCTTCCAAGCTCTGAATCTATTGCATGTCTCGTTCTGATAGAGAAACTGGCACGAACCCCAATATGGAAACATTTCAAATCTCATCATGACTATGACACAGAGGACACAAGAGCCCTAATCTATTTAATCTTTTCCCAGACTATGCCCTGTGCAGATACAAGAACAGATGTGAAGAGATGGGCACTGATCATTCATGCTTTCTATACCACATCCCAAACAAATCTACTAATAGAAAGCAGCATTTCCGTTTTCCCTCCTGAGACTAATACACTGATAATGGAGAAGGCTATGCTGATGACATGGGTATTCATAGTTGGGATAAGAATGATCTTGAACAAAAAAAAAAAAAAAAAACTCTCTCCACTAAGTGTTCCAAGAAATAGGACTCAAGATAAACATTTCCAAAACAGAAACTATGATCTGAAATTGAATGAAACCAGTGATGGCACATATCCTGAATCCATCATAAAAATTCACGATGTGGAATTAGTAAATACTAATCACTTCAAATATCTCAGTGTATCGAACAGTTAAAACAAATTTAGTATAGAGATAAAGCAATTAAACATAGACTAGGCTGTACTAGGGACAGTTTCACCACAAATTGCTACAAAACCAAAACATTACCAAAAAAACTCTAGTCATATCCTTAAATAGTCTTGTCAAATTGAGACTTTCATATGGCATCACACTCATTCAAAAATATCTGAATTGTCAGCTGTATACAACTGCCTTCTCAGATCAATGGTCAAAAATGGCTGTGTGTAAATGAAGCATGTAGGTCTTAGTGAGGACCAACCTTCTTCAAATCTTGTGGACTGCTGCTCCAGAATCGTAAACAAAGAACTGTATGAAATAACCACATTGAGGACTTTTAACAGCAGCAATGACTAAAATGGATAACACATGTAACCAGAAGGTAATGACCTAATCAAGATGTTGACATTCCACACTACTTCCAACAAAAGTTTAGGAAAGAAGCCCCCATCAATATTGGAAAGAGTAATAACAGTTACTGGATTTGAAAAACCTATTTTCCTGAAAAATTGTTTGAATCAAAAGACTTTAGAAATTTCAACCACCAGTAGCACTGGCTGTTTGGGCAATGAATACTAAATATTTCTTTATAAAGAAAATAACTAATATTACCATTTCCTTTCTTATTTCCAATTCCATGTCAACCTTGATTTTTTCTCAGGAGTTTTCTAACTCATTACCAAAATAATTACAATTGTCCATTCTAATTTAAAAACTCTAAATAACTAGTTCTAGCAATTTCATAAATCCCTCCAAGCTTTATTTCTAGTCAATAATGGCATTGTGAAAGTTAATTAGTAACTTATTTTCTTCCATTAAGTTAACATATGAAAATAAACGTAGCTTTGTTACAATTTAAATATAGTTTACTGTAGTATTTAATTCACATTAAATATCTTTATTTCTACATTTTATACCTGACAAAATATTTCATTGGGAATTTTGGAAAAAGCAAAATATATCATTTTCCTTAATGGTAGAGCAAAAATATGTACTAATTCTTTGCCCATTCTAAAAGGGACAATGTCAAGCTGACAAAACAATGATAAATGTTTAAAAATGAACCTCAAATTATTTTGTGAAAATATGATGATATAAATTTTAGTATCATTAATAGAATGTGTGGGTAGTGGAAGAGTGGTTCAGAAAGATAAATTGATGACTTCAAATTCCATTTTGTGTTTGTTACAGTCATTTTCATATGAATACATTTGAATTCATCTCTTCTCCTCTCAGATATGGGTTAAATAGCAAAGCAGACTGGGTTCTCCAGCCATGGTTGGCAACCAGTCTAGGAGAACAATTCAAAATGGATATATATCTCGGGCAAGGTGCATACTAGACAGACATTGAAAGTTAAATGCAGTGCAGAATTGTGAACTCTATGACCTTGACTGAAGTTAAATAATAAAAAAAGTAATTGATAGTGAAATGCTTAGTAGTTATAAAAATGTGTCTATCAAATGTCTTAAGGATTAAATATTACTAGAAACAAGTGTTAATGTATGATTATCAATGCAAATAATTAAGTATGGCATATACTTGCATATTATGCAAATTTTGAAGACCTAATTTTGAAGCTAAATTTAAGGAAGTCACATGTATGAGATATAAAATTAGCTATTGTACTGCTGGTTATGTCGTTGACCAAACTATACATCCATTTTCTGTAGTCCAAAAGTAAAGTTGTATTTAAAATAAACATGATTTTGATAAAACTGATTTTTACTTAACTGTATTTAATAATAATGCATATAGTATTCAAATATTAGTATTGTATTATAAAATACAAACATATCGAATACATCTCTTTCCCTTTTTGTTCACAGTTATAAAACAATTAGCTGTTCCTCATTTGGTTGTTTATAGCTGTACACGTTTATGCAACGAGTATACAGTTACTAACAATACTTTTATCATTCTCTTTTACTTTTTTAACTAGAAGATGGGATAAAGAGATAGTGGAAAAAAGGTTAGTTTATTATAATTTAGTCTCTCAAAAAAGGAACTTGCATGATAAAATTATTTTTTTTATAAATTAAAATTTGGGGGTTGTATGATATGCAAGATCATGTGTTACATGGGCATATATGGTAGTTATAAAAAACAGAATGCCAGTTTCAACAAATAATTTTTACCTATTCAGAAGCGAAATTAAAATCTTATCAAAACAGCTTGAAATAATGAAATAAATATTTTCTGTTTTCCAATGATGACTTCTATAGTAACCAAACACTGATGACACAATCTATGGTGCCACCTGATAATAGTCAGTTGTTTACATTTCTTAAATGATAGGCAAAAGTAGGAAGGCTAATTTAAAAAAAAAACAACAAATTAAAATATTTGATCTCCCAGTTGGCTATTTAAGACATTTCAAGCTTCCATGGTATATTAAATAACTATTTGATATCATGGATTCCATTTCTGATATACAAATCTACAAGGTTTGTGCTATGGATAAACAACAATCTTTTCTTATCTCAAAAAAAAAAACAAAAAACAAAAAAAAACAAATTCTTCTTGAGATTAGTCATTTTATAAGTACATTTTTTTTTCGGCTAAGAACACAATGGATGTTGGCTCTACTTCCTTTCAATGCTTTGATCAGAGAGGCAAGCCAAGTGAAGAGGTCCATACCAGATAAGGGGATGCTAGTGTGCATGC